TGATCAATACCACTTTGGCCACTTTCTGATTGTATGACCTGGTACAAATCATTTGACCTTCCACATTCTTGGTTTCCTCATTTGTAAAATGGTTATAATAATGCTTATCTAATAAGGTTTCTTTAAGAGTTAGAAAGAGTATATATAAAGCATGCCTAGTAAAGATGTTAGGTGCTCAGTAGAAGTGGTAGCTGGTTCCAGGATTCTGGTTCTTTTTCAGTCCTTTTTCAGTCCACCCAAGACTTGGAGGAAATGGCTCCCCAAAGCATATTAGTAGCAAACACCTACATATGGTGTGCCAGGAAATCCTCTGTGCCCTTTATATATATCAAGTGATTTAGTTCTCTCAATAATCCTGTGAGGCAGGTGGTATTATTACCCCACTTTACAGATGAGAGAAGGGAGGCATAGAAAGGCCAAGTGTCTTGTCCAAGATTCCATATCTGGTATTCATCTCAGGTAGTGTGATGCCAGAGTTCCTGCTCCTAGCCACTCCACCAGCATCTCTTTTGGACGACCAACATTCAGTGGGAGAGGAGAGGACAAGCCCACCACCTTACCCTCCAGAGGATTTGTTGAGTGCCTTAAGAACATAGACATGGCCCCAGGGTGTCTTAAATGAGGTCAGAGGAAGGGCCATGCCTTCCCATAGGGATTTCCCTTTGGTCCTATTAGGACTAAATCTAGCAAAATGGATACTATGCCAATAAAAATTTTAAAAGTCCTTTTGGAAAACAGAGCCCACTGCAGAAGTTCAGGATTCTGAGATAAGAACGCCCAGGCTGTGTGGCTTAGTGGGAAGTTTCCTAACCTTAGGGTCAAGCAAATCTGTGGGTATATGATATTTGGGGGCTGTGTGACCTCTCTGAGCCTTAGTTTACTCATTTGTGAAAGGAGATTAATAAAACATACGTCTTAGCATTGTTCTGGGAATTAAATAAGATGATACACAGAAAGCTCCCTGTCCAGTACAGGAATACTCTGGGTACTCAGTGAAAGAGCATCATACTTTGTACCTTTAGCCATCTTGCATGATTTCCAGAGCAATTATTCTCTCAAGTAACCATCAAGAATTTTGGCATTGTGGCTCTGAAATTGGTGATTCACTGGATTGAAGACTGGACACTTTGCTTTATTAGCCCTGCCTTGAGCCTTGCTCCTGGCCTTTCTGACTTCTGACACCTCTGAGATCTGCTGCTAGCCTAACCTCTGCCAGGCAAACCTGGACTCCTTTAACAGGGCTCTGCTGATTTCAGAGGCAGCTTAAAGAGGAGGGTGGCAGGGCGGGGAAGAACTTTGGATATGGAACTAGAAAGCTGGCCAGTGTTTAAGTTCTATGTCTGCCATGAGCTACGAATGTGACCATTTGTTTGCTATTTGGGGCTCGAGTTTCTTATCGACTAGGAAGGGGAATGTATTAGAGCAGATATTACTGAGGCCACATCCAGCTCCTCCTCAGGCTAGTAGGCTCTTTCCCCAACCAGATTCCCAATACCCTGAATTCACCAGGGAGATTGGGCTCTATGGCACAGTATTACTGTTTTGCGGGGGGGTAGTGGAGAGGGAGGAAGAGGAAAGCAAAATGGCAATCCAAGATGAGTTTCCCGGACCTCTGTGAACTCACTAATAAAACAAAATCATGAATCAGCCTCCCACATCCACTTACCAAGAAAAAGAATGAATCTTTTTTTTTTTTAATAGAGAGATTCCTGCAGCAGCAAAGAAAAGCCTTTAATTTCGGAACCAAAGCTATTTGTTTACTGTCTCAATGTCCTTTCACCGAGAGCTCATCCCACAAACAATAGCAAAGGCAAACGAAAGACAAATGTAGGAAACATTTATATTTATATCCCAAATGTAGGAAACAGCATGAAAATATTGTTAAGGAAACTCAGTAAGTCTCTGCTCCAGGGTATGTATATAGACTTGGTGCCAAAGGCAGCATGGCCAGATGTAAGAGGACATGATCCTCCTGCAAAGAACAAAGGATAAATATGTTGGAATTCCACTGGGGAGGAGAAGAGCCAGGAGTAATCATGCAAGTGCCCACATAGCAAGCTCATACAGAGGCCTTGTAGCCAGCAGCCTTTTCTCTGAGCATCAGTCCAGACACCACTGCCTGATAGCTATGGAATCTTGGGCATGAGTGTAATCTCTGTTCCTCAGCTTCTTCATCTATGAAATGGAGATACTAATAGCGCCTAGCTCACAGGGCTACAGTGGGAATTAACAACTTAATATATGTCAGTCATGTAGAATTGTGCTTAGTATGTGCTAAATACTTATAGCTAATATTCTTATTACATACAGGTGAAGGGAGAAGGTCTTCTATTGACCCCACTTTAATGATCCACCACCACTTTAGGGAGATGCTGTAGTATAGTCAAAGTAGTGTTGGCTCTGCTATTGGACAAACGCAGATGCAGGTCCTGGTTCCATCACTTCCCAGCCTTGACTCTGGGCAAGGCTGCAGAAACAGTGGGGGCACAGTGGCTCAAGGTTTAGGATGGCTGAGGAATATGGTCCTGCTCCAGGTAAGCTGTGGATACTGTATTGCCCTGACTGCGGGGCCCCTATTAAGCTTCCTTTCTTCATAAATTACCATTATCGTTGTCATTATCGTCACTATGATCAACTAGATAGAAGAAAAGTGGACATCTGTCATTTTCATCCTCCTAACTTCTCCCCATTCAGTCTTCCATTACCCAAAGAGTGACCATTAGGATGGGAAGGACTTGAATAAACTGATCCTTCAAAGGTGGAGGATTTTTTTAAATTGAGGTAAAATTCACATAACATAAAATTAACCATTTTAAAGTTATCAATTAAGTGCCATTTACTACATTCCCATGTTGTGAAACTATCACTTTTATCTAGTTCCAAAACATTTTCGTCTCCTCCAGAGGAGACCCCAAGCCCATTAAGCAGTCACTCCCCATACCTCCCTTCTCCTCGGCCCCTGACAACCATTAATCCGCTTTCTGTCTCTATGGACTTAGCTGGACCTTTCATATAAATGGAATCATACAATATATGGCTTTCGTTTCTGTCTTCTTTCACTTAGCATATTTTGGAGGTTTTTCCATGTTGTTAGCATGTACTTCATTCCTTTTTAAGGCTGAATAATATTCTACATTTTGTTTATCCGTTCATCATCCATTGATGGACATTTTGCTTGTTTGTACCTCTTGGCTACTGTGAATAGTGCTGCCATGAGCACTGGTGTACAAGTATTTGAATACCTGTTTTCAGTTCTTCTGGGTATATACCTAGGAATGGAATTGTTGGGTCATATGGCAATTCTAGGTTTAGCTTTTTGAGAAGCTATCAGTGTTTTCCATGCTGCTACATTACTTTGTATGCAGTAGGAGCACTTTGATGTTGAAAAATAGTCCTGGTGGCTGGAATTCTATTCTTTCTGATGCAGATTGGCCAGTGGGGTGAAGAGACTGACCAGTGGGTTGGAGGGACAGTAGGTTGGGGACTGGACCTTTCTGCTGCCTTTTTATTTATTTTATTTTTTTAAAGATTTATTTATTTATTTGACAGAGAGAGAGAGAGAGAGAGAGAGAGAGAGAGAGAGACAGTGAGAGAGGGAGCACAAGCAGGGGGAGTGGGAGAGGGAGAAGCAGGCTTCCCGCGGAGCAGGGAGCCCGATGCGGGACTCTATCCCAGGACCCTGGGATCATGACCTGAGCCGAAGGCAGATGTTTAACGACTGAGCCACGCAGGCGCCCCTCTGCTGCCTTTTTAATCCTTAGTTGTAAGAAGGCACTAACTCTGCCCTTTGCAAAGCTCATTCTGCTAAACCAGTGGGGAAATGGGAGGGAAAAGAGGAGATGACTGTATAGAAGACTGAAGATGACCAAGTCCAAACAAGAGGCCATTCTGTAGACATATTATATGTAGATGGTTTTGAATCCTAATCACTTTCTTGTAAGAGAACTGTGATATTCTTGCGCATTTATTCATGGTAGTAATTGACCACAATCTTGAAGTCTCTTAGGTATTTGCTGTCTGATGTTGTATTATAAGCAACTTGAAGAGCAGCATATGTCAGAAACCCCTCCTGGGAGGCAGGAGCACATCAGGCCTCCCAGAAGCTCCTGCCATAGAGGCCCGATGGGTATAACATGGGAGCTACTGAGGGCAGGACTTGAGGGAGACTGTGGAGAGTCAAGGCCAGGGAAGTTGCATGTCTGCCATTAGATCTGAGGGCAGAGGGCAGAGTGGGAGCCGGAGACAGAGAGAGCTATTGGGAGTCAGGGGTCAGGTCTGCCATCCAATAAAGGCAAGAGACAAGGGTACTACTGGCTGAGGCATCAGCTATGGATGGGGTTGAATGCTTAGAGCTCATTCTTCTCAGGGATTGTCCCATTGGGGGTGTGAGGACAGCCACAGTCAAAGAGAGAGTCTGAGAGGCAAACAACAGCCTTTCTCAACAGGTTCCTGTGAGAGCTTATTAAACAAGTGTTCAGAGAATAGTTTAACGTTACCCAGATGTCTTTGCAAAGATATCGATATCATGAATAGATCGTAAAACTCAGGACCTGCAAATGCAGAGTCTCCTTCGTCTGCAAATAGTCACCACAGTTCATATCCTTTTCTGTATTGTCCAAAACTGTAATATGAATGACTGCATCTCAAACAGGATTCTCAGTTTATTCTTAGGAAAGAAGTACTTCTCATTTTCCCGAAGCACTGTAGTAAACGATGCCCCGTAGTGGATAGATGGATATAAAAACCCCAGAGAAGTTCATTCCAGGCCAAAGGTGACCACTGCTTGCTGCCCTCACATCTTTCTCTGCTGTGAACTCTACCAAACCCCAAGATGTGGGAAATCATGTGGGGGGTTTGGAAGGGTCCCAGGACCTTCAGGCTCACTAGAAGGCAGTTCCTGGTAGGTCACGAAAGCCTTACTTAGTAGGGCTAATGAATTTAGGTCTCCCAAACACCCTAGAACATCAGGGGTCTTTACTGCAACTTCTTTGTTCCTCTAGGTGAAGAGACAACTCTGTCCCTTGGAAAAGAGGGATGTTTATCGAAGAGTCAACTCAGAGACGTTGTGGCCTTAGGCGTGGAATACCTTATCCTGCTCTCCAAAGCACTTCCCTGCAGGCACTAAACTGGAGGAAATTCCTTCCAGAGCTCAAGCCCAGAAGGCTGACAATGCTGTTGATGGCAGTATACTGAGTAAGTAAGAGAAGTTTGGGAGATGGAATGTGGGGTCCAGGATCCTCCCTGGAGGGAAGAGATGTGAGCTCCTTGGAGCCCCCTGGAGTAGGGCTTTGGTGAACTGATGATAAATAGTGCCTCCTGCTGCAGGCCATACAAACAGCTAAAGATCTGACCCCTCCATGCCTTTAGTCCCCTGTGGGAGTCATGTACAATTTGGAAAGCAGATCAAGGGCATCCTGGCTCCCAGCTGACCACCCCACTTGCGGCCTGGAGGTCTGGAGGCCTGAAGACCCCCCACCCCAAGCCAGCAGGCAGAGGTCCCCAAGTTCACAGAGCTAGTTCCTCTTGCCCTGGGTTCCTGCTCTCTGGGGGACTGCCCTTTCCAGAACTTTTCCTCTGCAGACAGCTCTTTCCAAGGCTCTCAAGACTCCAAACCAAATTGTTTGGGGAATGAAAAAGTGAAAGCACACATCTTAGAGCAGCAGGGACCAGCTGCTGGGTCAACTCTCCCCAAAACAGAGCTTCCTGGGGAGTGCCTGGAGCATCTCAAAATCCTCCATCTGACCTCCTGCCATGTTTCTAATTGTCTTTTTAAAAATAACATGAAAATAAAAAAGAAGAAGAAAGAGAGAGGAAAAGGGAAGAAATTAACTATTAAGATTCTCTGTCTCCAGGGAAGTTCAGGAGGAAATTTTAGGAACTTTCTGCCTGCTTTTTATTGTTTTTACCGGGCCACCCTGCCAAGGGGAGGATGAGAGCTCTTTGCGCCTGGTGCACCATTCAAAGCCCTGTGTGCTTAATAGGGTGACACAAATGTCTGTGTTTCTTTTTGCTTTTGACCAAAGGCTGTAGGGAGGGGCCACCCCAGGGGACTGTCGGGGAGGGCCTTGCCAATTGGTTCCCGTTCCCCGCACCAAACTGGTTCCCAGCCCCAGCCAAGCCCGCCCCGGGCCGGAAGGGCCTATGGGCCGCTGCCGAGCGGCGGAGGGGCCGGGTGGGGGTGGGGGACGCGGACGCCGTTCCGCCTGCCCAGCTGGGAGAGACTCGGAGCCCGAGCTGGGCTAACGTGGGCTCTGCCGGAATCACGCCGTGTGATGCTTTTGCCAAAGGAAACTTTGGGAAGCCTGGGAAGCCTGGGAAGTCGGGGCGGGGGGGGGGGGGAGTCGGCGATCTCCTGCCTCCTCCCATCCCTACCCTGTCGCTCTCCCTCCTCCCACCTCTAGCTCTCCTCGGCCGGGGAACAGCTTTGGGCCAAGGTCAGCTGGCTGCCTTTGTGGCTGCTTCCCAGGAAGGAAGAAGCGTTGTCTGCGGATCAGTTTATCAGCTGGCTTTCCTGTGCCGGAGCGCCGCCGTTTTCCGGGGACGGCTGCCACCCCCGTGATTCCCAGCCGGGGCTGCGGGTGGTGCGTGAGAGCCGGATAAATAGGCCATTGTGCGGCCGCTCAGAATCCAGGTTTCTTATCAAACTATCCACCAGCGAGAATGAAATTCCGCCCCTGCTGCCTGTTATCTTAGCTTCTCTTTTCACTCTCTGCAATTACAGCCATTTCAGGATTTATCCCCCACCCCCACCCCACGGCGAGTTTTGAAGGATATATTCAGAAAGCAATTTACTTGTGCAGCGTCCTGTGTGAGGCAGAGACTTCGGGGGCGTGTCTCCTAACAGTGTTTCCGTGGGATCTTGGTGAGGGATGACATTGAGGTTTTAATGGTGTCGGTTTTTTGTTTTTCTGCTGCAGCAGCTGGCCTACTGTGGAGGAGTTGTACATAGCTGGTGCTTGACTTAGGAAGTTGTCATTAGCAGGCAAGGCTGGTTTTAGAGCCTCTGACCAGTGCCGTTGCACAGGTCCCTTGCTCAGAGGGGGACCCATGCTTGGGTTACTGTTCTGCTGTTAGCATCCTGAGATGCTTAATAAGTTCTGAAGAGGATTCTGCATTTTCATTTTGTACTTGGATTTGCAAGTTATATAGCTAGTCCTGTTAGTAGGAGCTCAGATTCATTCGAATGAGCTTGAATAATGGTTTGAATAAGTTCCTAAGGTCCAATTTGAGATAATAGCCCGTCGTTAGTTGATAAACTGCTGAAGTTGATTCTCCTACTTGTCAATATATCTACTGCAATTGTTCTGTTGGATTGGACAATGTTCTATAAACTAAACTGGGCCCCCGGCATCAAATCTGTAGTGAGCTGCAACAGCCTGTTGCCAGAACAAGAGCAAGCATTGGGGCAAGACTGGCTTCACCCTGGCTCCCTTAGAAAGCTGGGGATGTTCACCCCTCAGAGACCCAGAGAGTTTCATAGTAAGATGCTCATTGGTGCAGTTACCACCTCCCTTTCCTTCTATCCACTTTGAAATTCCTAGCTTCCACGTCTGCAGGCCACAACAGGGTTGAAAATGGACTCATCCCATCAAAAACCTGTCATGGATTGAGACATTGTGTTTAACACTTTTAGCACCTAAACAACTCTGGGCAAATTACTCTGAATCTGGGACTTGGCATTCCTGACAGACAGAGGAGGGAAAGGGAAAATAGTTCATAATAAATAAGCAAAATGCTATTTTTCTAGAAATAATTTGTGTGGGAATTAATTGTTTTGGCTTAATGAGACAAATTTTCCCTTCCAAAGAGTATTCTTTCATTTGTTTACTCTTTCACTCATTAATTTATGACTTGATTTTCCATTCGCTCAACAAAGATTCTATAGGAAATGTGCTAGAGAGATATTGTGATAAAGTGATGAAAGAGAGGAGATTCAGAATAGTGGGGATGTAAACAAGTACACAAAGAGTACAATGACAGGGTATAGGTGCTAAGATAGAAGTATCTATTAGGATGCTTTAGGGTCAAAAGGAGTTAATAGGATCAGTTCTTTTGGTCATCTTTCATGAGTTCCCTGGCTATGACATTTTTCTTCATGAGCCTTAGTATTATTATTATTGTTAATAGGTAACATTCATAAAGTAATTGGCACGTTCAGACACAAAGCTAAAAACATTGTATAGGCATTTTCTCATTTGTCTCGAAATATAATCAAGGTCCATGTAGAAACTCCATTGTATAGAAGCAATTGAGACCAGGACATGATATGGGCGCTCAAGGTCACACAGTGCCTAAGAGGTAAAGTCACTATTTGATTCAGCTGTTCTCCTCCAGAGTGTGCCTTCTCAAGGAAGCCTGCACTGCCTCCAACAATGGGGCTGCAGTGCCGTGTGTAAGCATGGTTTGTACAAAGGATTGGAAAAATGGCCTCTCCTATTTCCCAGGATCGCTTTTCTTTTCACAAAATACACTGAGACTGGCATCTCCAAAAGGGAATTTTTTTCCCCTCTCTCCTCACTAGTAGGATCAGGCTTATTTGTTTCAACAACTTATGGATGCCAGGGCTACAAATGGCTCCCATGAGACCAGAGTAAATCCCTAAAATGTGGGCTGGGCACAGAGTGGTTTGCCATGGCTTCCTGTAGGGGATTTTGTGGGTGTTTTCATGCCTCCCAGTTAAGGAGTGAATTCCACCCCCAGGGAAGATTGTGTATTCCCATGTCCCCACTCCTTAGTGGTCAGTTTTAGACTCTTAATGTCACAAGTATTGGAAGCCAGACTTTTGAGACTCATTCCCAGAAACCCCTTCAGGCTCTGGTTGGTACTAGTGGCTCCTTCTAACGAAGACCACTTGGGTTTGAAGTTTTAGAGTGTTACACACTTACACACAACACTACCATAAGGAGAGAATGCCGGAGGGTGGCAGTTTGGAGCCAGGATAGGGCAGGGGGTGGGGCAAAGCTGATGAAGTGGCCAGGATAAGGTCACGAAGCATTGGAGTGAGTGCTAGAAATAGAATTCAGGTTTAGTACTTTCCCCTCTGCAAGGAACTGCTGCCTCGTAACCTGAAACAGGATTAGCCTGGGCAAAACAAAGCAAAACTGACATTTTCTTGAGGGAGGTTTTCTGGTTTTTTGGTTTTGTTTTTTTCTCTGCTGGAATCTAGAGACAGACTCCTTGGCTGGGTGCTAAGTGTTTTCAATGGGGAGAGGCCCTGTGTAAGCCAAATTCAGTTCCTCCCACCCTGAAATAGTTCCTTGCTCTGACCTTGACCTGAATGTTTAACAAAGCTGTGAAATGGAAGGCAAGACTAGAAAAGACCAGCAAACAGAGAAAGAAAAGAATCATTCATTGCTACATTGTGAAGAACTCAGGTGTCTGTTACCAGGCTCTCCATTGTTGCTTGGGCCACAGCACATGGAAGGAGCAATCTTGGTTGGATTTTTTAAAAAAGAATATTGTTATTATTTGAGTAGAAAACATAAATAATCATTCTGGTGGAATCTGATCATCTTTTTCAGCCTATGGTGCTGGTGAATATTGACCTCTAGTTGTTAAGTGGAAAATGTCAGATTTGGAGAGATCAGAAACATAGTAAGTTGTATAAAATAAAACACCTATATGTATAAAAACATTTGTTTTAGAAACAGTATGACCCCTTTCTACTGTCTTGGAATGGTTAGGCCACCAAGGAGACTGTAGTGTGCATCTTTGTTCCTTTAGTCATTCACTGTCGGGCAGGTAATAGTTGCGGTGCCCTCTGTGCTGTGCACACAGAAGACACAAGCTCTTCTGTCCTCAGAGAACTTACGACGTCCAGGAAAGGCCAAAAAGCACATGAACTTGAGACTCAGACATGTCAGAGGCTGCATGAAGGACTGATGAGGCTGGAAGTATAGGGAACCCTCTCCCTGAGCTTCTTGGCTTTGGGGGAAGAGAGCCAACAAGCGTAAGGTTTGTGCTCAGTACTTGGGGGTTGCTGCAGTGAAGGAAGGAAAAAGAGGTCAAGCCAGGGACTATTCTCCAGGCTCACCACATTGGGTACAGATTAGTCCTACGGGGAGAAGGCTCTCTAGCTTCTAGGAAATATGGAAGGGATCCCTGCTCTGCAGGTATGCCCAGATCATGGTCAGGCTTTGATCCCAGGGAAGAACAGCCTGTCCATCAGGAAGAGTCACAGCCTGGGGAGCATA